CCTTTGGGGGGTGGGGGGGGCGGGGCGCTGGGGCTCAGGGGTGTGAGGAGCAGGCTGGTCCACCCCAACGGGGAAACGGGGCTCGGGAGAGGCAGCTGGGTCCCGACAGGCCCCCCGGGGGCCCTGAGCGTGGATGGCTGGAGGCCAGGACCTCGACCAGCTGGTGGGGGGGGCCTCACCCCTGTGGGCTTCTCGCTGAGCCCCACGTCAGTGGCCGGTGGAGGAGGGCGTCCAAGGCGCTGCTCTACGTCCTGGGAGTAGCCCTAACCGGAGAAGTTACTATTTGTGAGGCTGAACTAAACCATTTACAACTTTCTACACATAGACTAGTCCTTGTCTCTAAAGCCTCGGCTTTTGTAATTTTTTGTCTTAATGTCACTGTCACCCTGGATTATTGTCTTCTGTATTGAGATGTTGGAGGAGCAGTAGATAGTGGTATCTCATCTAGTAAAATGTAACAATAGACTTTCTCAAATGAGAAAAAAAAAATTAAGATACCTAGGAATAAACCGTTGGGGTCCAGCCCCAGCAGGTCCAGGGGTCCCCAAAGGTGTGGACGGAGTTGGCGAAGGAGGAAGGACATGGAGGCTGCGTTCAGTTGATCAGCATAACAAGGTTCTCCCGCCAGATTCTGTAGCCAGGGTCTCTCGCTAGGTTCTGTTTCTAGGTTCTGTGTCCTGTTGTCTTGTTACATCTGTATTTATACCAGTTGATTCCAATCCTATCAATCTCTATTCCAAAGGTTAGGGCGTTTCTTATCTCCATTCCAGGGAGTAAAGATTATGTAGCTTAAGTGTGATTGTTTGTAGTTAAAGTGATTAACTACCCGCCTGGCACTTAGTTAAGAGGTTTTATCCCCTCCCTAACTTCAGGGAAAAATCCCTACCTGGGAAAACAACCTTTCTCGGAGAGGTGACCTTGGTTAAAGCACATAGCGCTAAGGGGAGCAAACATATTAAGAACAGTATGCCATACGCCAGGTCCCTTGAAACATATGCTGTGCAGATGTTTCTTCTCTGCAGCGACTGTGTCAAGCAGCAAGGATGGACCGGCTCCCGGCAAATAAACTTAACCAAGGAGACAAAAGACCTGTACTTAGAAAACTACAGGACATTAAAAAAAGAGATAGAAGAAGATATAAACAAGTGGAAGAATATACCGTGTTCATGCATTGGTAGAAGCCAACATCATTAAAATGTCCATACTACTCAAGGCAATCTATAGATTCAATACAATCCCTATTAAAATACCAATGGCATATTTCACAGATCTAGAACAAATACTCCAAAAAAGACCCTGAATAGCTGCAACAATTTTGAGAAAGAAAAACAAAGTTGGAGGAATTATAATACCAAATTTCAAGTTATATTAGAAAGCCACCATAATCAAAACAGCCTGGTACTGGCACAAGAATAGGCATATAGATCAATGGAACAGAACAGAGACCCCAGAAATCAACCCAAGCCATTATGCTCAATTAATATTTGACAAAGGAGGCAAGAGCATACAATGGAGTCAAGAGAGTCTCTTTAATAAATGGTGTTGGGAAAATTGGACAGATACATACAAAAGAAAATGAAACTAGGCCACCAACTTATACCACATACAAGAATAAAATCAAAATGAATAAAAGACTTAAATGTAAGTCATGAAACCATAAAAATCCTAGAAGAAACCATAGGCAGCAAAATCTCAGACATCTCTAGTAGCAATATGTTTACAGATACATCTCCTAAGGCAAAGGAAACTAAGGAGAAAATAAACAAATGGCACTACATCAAAATAAAAGGCTTCTGCACAGCAAAAGAAACCATCAACAAAAGAAAAAGAGAGCCCACTGTATCAGAGAACGTATTTGGCAATGATACATCTGATAAAGGATAAATATCCAAAATATACAAGGAACTCATACAACTTAACAAAAGGAAGACAGAGAATCCAATATAAAAATGGGCAAAGGACCTAAACAGACACTTCTCCAAAGAGAACATACAGATGGCCAAGAGACATATGAAAAAATGCTCAAAGTCATGAATCATCTGAGAGATGAAAATCAAAATTACAGTGAGGTACTATCTCACACCTGTCAGAATGGCTACCATCAACAAATCAACAAATGACAAGTGCTGGCGAGGATGTAGAGAAAAGGGAACCCTAGTACACTGCTGGTGGGAATGCAGACTGGTGCAACCATTATGGAAAACAGTATGGAGTTTCCTCAAAAAATTAAATATGGATCTGCCATTTGACCCACTGACCCCACTTCTAGGAATATATCCTAAGAAACCCGAAGCACCTATAAGAAAGAATGTATGCACCCCTATGTTCATAGCAGCACAATTTACAATAGCTAAGATCTGGAAACAGCCCAGGTGCCCATCAGCAGAGGAGTGAATAAAAAAAGCTGTGATAGCCCTAACTGGTTTGGCTCAGTGGATAAAGCGTCGGCCTGCGGACTGAAAGGTCCCAGGTTCGATTTCAGTCAAGGGCATGTACCTTGGTTGCAGGCACATCCCCAGTGGGGGCTGTGCAGGAGGCAGCTGATTGATGTTTCTCTCTCATCGATGTTTCTAACTCTCTATCCCTCTCCCTTCCTCTCTGTAAAAAATCAATAAAATATATATATTTTTAAAAAGCTGTGGTACATTTATACCATGGAATACTATACAGCAGTTAAGGGGGAGGGTGGGTGGGAGGTAATCAACCAATGACCTTGAATGCATAACCCATGGACACAGACAACAGGCTGCTGAATGCCTGGGGCAGGGGGCGTGGATTGGGTCTGGCTGGTGGGAGTCAATGGGGAGGTAAAGGGGACATATGTAATACTTTCAACAATAAAGAATTATTAAAAAATAATATTTAAAAATGTTTTAAATTAAATTTTTAAAAACAAGGACATTGGGCCGGTCTTTAAGGGTCCTGCTAGTCCCAACAGCTATAAGATGCCCAGGACGCCATGGCCTGTTGCAGCTGACTGAGGCCGTGGGATCTCGCAGGTTCATGAGTCAGGAGAACTCCATGACATCTATTCCCAATCAAGGATCCACCCAGGAGAGAGATCCACCCACCGTGGAGACCCCAGCACAAATTTGCCCTATCCCTGCTCTAGCACCCCATACTCTGCAGCCCAGAGCTCCGCCATCCCCCAGGCAGAATGGGCACTTGCTCTCAAAGTCACCATCCTCTCCCCTGAGGCTGACAGCCCAGGGAACATGAGCACACAGCCTGTAAGGTCGGTGGGTGCTGGGCGGGCACCCCGTCATCTGTCTGTTTCTGTCTCTGCAGGTGAAGAGTCAGAGCTGTGTGGGCGGATTCTTTCACCCTTCTGCTCCAAGATGGCTTTCAGAGAATTCTGCCCCAGTAAGTTTCCTTCTGCATCCTTCTGTGGCTCATGGGCAGGCGAGGGCAGACCTCGGAGTCAGGGTTACAGAGAACAGCGCTAGAATGTTTGGCCAGAGAGCTCCAGGGGTGGATGTGGTATGATGGGTGCAGGGAGGGCAACACATAAGACCCCTGATGTCTGCAAGAGACATCTCATTTTTGTCAATTTGTCTGTATCATTACTTCCCAAAGTGTGGATCGGGGCTCTTCTGAGAAATATTAATGAGGTTACTTTAAAAAATTTTCCATGGCCGTCTGGCCGATGTTGCTCAGTGGTTGAGCATCAACCTATGAACCAGAAGGTCACAGTTTGATTCCCAGTTGGGGCACATGCCCAGGTTATATGCTCAATCGCCAGTGTAGGGCGTGCAGGAGGCCGCCGATCAGTGGTTCTCTCTCATCATTGATGTTTCTATCTCTCCCTCCCTCTCCCTTCTCCAAAATCAATAAAAATCTATATATAGATAAAAGCTTAAGCGACAGGCTAACTATTCAACAGTTCAACCAATAGCTATGACGTGCACTGACCACCAGGAGGCAGATGCTCAATTCACAGGCATGAAAACATGGAACAGACTGATGAATCTCAGAGGGAAGGAGGAAGGAGGGAAGGCAAGAAGAGATTAACAAAAGATCTTATATGCATACTAGAGGCTCGGTGCACTGATTCGTGCGAGGATCGGGCCGAAACCAGCAGTCTGACACCCCCTGAGGGGTCCTGGATTGCGAGAGGGTGCAGGCCAGGTCAAGGGACCCCACCGGTGCACGAATCCATGCATCGGGCCCCTAGTAAATATATATAAAAATTTCCTTAACCAAGTGAGAATGGGAAATGCTGGGTGGCACAAGAAGGTTTTGCTATTGTAGGACTTTTCAGAGCCTTTAAGTCAGCGGTTCTCAACCTGTGGGTCGCGACCCCTTTGGCGGTCGAACGACCCTTTCACAGGGGTCGCCTAAGACCATCCTGCAGATCAGATATTTACATGACGATTCATAACAGTAGCAACATTACAGTTATGAAGTAGCAACGAAAATAATTTTATGGTTGGGTCACAACATGAGGAACTGTATTTAAAGGGCCAGAGGGTTGAGAACCACTGCTTTAAGTGGTGATGTGTGTTGTAAGGCTTCCATAGGAATGAGAAAGCCCAGTGGTCTTCCCAAATTTAATTGACCACAAGGAACATCTTACAGGACTGGGGCTGCACAGAACACACTCCTTGGCATTCACTGTCCTAAGGAAACCCTCCCTGGTGCATCCCCACTGGGAGGCCTCATCTCCTAATTCATTTCATCTAATGAAGCACGCCCTCCCGTCCCTTCTCCTGGATGAGTTGGGACTGGGAGTCTGTGTGGAATCAGGGACCCTACCTTAGCCCCATTTATCTACTTGTCATTGTTCCTCTCCCAGGTTCATCCCCACTCACCACTGTCTGTTCAAATTTCTACCATTCGTTACATGTCACGCTTCTTGGGGTTGCGGTCTTTCTTCCAAATGGTTGAAACCCTAATTATTAAATCTTTGAACATCAAGGGGCTGTAGCAGTAGGGGGCAGGGGAAGCTGGCATAGCCTGTCTGGGTGGGATCACCAGGCATGCCCCAGGGGGATAAGGTGGCAGTGGGGTCCCTGCAAAGAGTGGTGCTTGGGGAGGTACGGGTGCCCAGTCTGGCTGCTGGCCACCAGGGGTACCCAAGTGAGTGGGTGGGTGGATCAATGGATTGTTGGAGAAAGGGATGAGGGCTGGGATGAGGGATGGATAGCCAAATGGGCTCCAACCTGGCCCCTAGCCTTCTCACTCACTCCAGACCTCATCCTCACTACTGTAAGCAGCAGCTTCCACCGCCCTCTCCCACCCCAGCTTCTGCCTGAGCTTCTGCTTCCTTCCTTGGCCTGTCTCCCCTGGGAAGCCCCCACCCCCACACCTCAAGTTCAGCCTGCCCCAAACGGAAGTCTTTGTCTTCCCCTCCAAGCCACTGTTGCTTGATTTTGCTGTCCTGGTTTAGGACACCAGACATTTCAGTCTCTCGGGCCAGAAATCTGGGGGTGACCCTCAATTCTCCCCCAACACACCCAGCTCTGCCAACTGCCCAAGGAAATCCTGGGGTTTCTGAATTGGGTCTACAGGTTGGCATTTCTGACTTCGCCCCAATCCGGGCCCTCTCTTCAGACCCAACTTGGAAATCACTGCTTCAATAAGTGCTTATTGAACAACCAACAAGTGAATGAATCAAGATGCAGCCGACGCCCTCGCACATTTCTGGAATGGATGCAGAGCATCCTGGCTGATGCGGGCTCTTTAACGCCTCCCTCCCAGACCTAGACCTGCTCTGGGAATTTAGACACCGAACGGGGAATTGCTTTAACTTTCTTAGCTCACAAATGATCTTGCTCGGTACACGTCAAGATACCAAGATTTCCCATTTAAACCTGGAAGACTTAGGGTAGGGCTCTTCGAGTGTCCACAGCCCTACCCCCTGCCCATTGGGAGAGGCAAAAGGAAAAGTCCCTAGAAGGAAAAACAAGCACCAAAGATTGGGGTCAGAGCTCAGGAAGTCGGGGGTAAGAGAGGGGAAGCTCCCGGGCTGCCCACAGGCTGGCAGCAATCGCAGCCTGGCAGAGCGTGTGGGTGGGCTTGGGTCTCCCTCAGAGTCCATGTGATGAGAGAGACAGTGCTTGGGTTCAAGTACAACCTGGCACTGACACCGGCTGTGTAATCTGAAGCAAGCTACCTAACATCCAGAAACCTCAATGTGCTCATCTGTGCAGTGGAAACAGTCATGCCAGCCTTTTCGTTTGATGCCAAGGTTTGACCTACCACAGAGACTGGAGCTTGCTGCCAGGCACTGCGAGGCAGCATTTGACAGGTTCTCAGCAGTGCCAGCCTTCTGTCAGACCTCACCACGGGCACAGGATGGGATGTCTTCATAAAACAGGTTCTCCCTGCCTTGTAGATTAGATATAAGAGGTCACCTGCTGGCCCTCTGGGATTTGCCCTGGGACTCTACCCCAGCATCACAGATGCAGAAACTCAGATGCAGAATGGGACTGACCAGGTCACACAACACGTTGTGGCCAACGCTCTGAAGCGCCCAGCCTGATGCCACATAAAGTGCTCTTTCCACACGGAGCCCACAGTTCTCGGGGAAGATGCAGAGAAGGAGCAGCCCTCTTTTGAAACGAAAACTGTTAACCCTAGAAGAAAGGTTGTCATAACCAGCCCCCCTCAGCCTCCCTTGGAGGCAGTGGACAGTCAGACCGGCAAACCTTTCCCCTCCTGCCTGCTACACTCTTACCCCCGCCAGGTCCCAAGACACCAGGAGACTCTGAACATCTGCAGTGAGAACTGAGTTCCTTTTCTGGGGATTCTCTAGAGTTGTTTTGTTTGTTTGTTTGTTTGTTTAGTAGAAATACCAGCTCACAAGAGTCAATAGTTAAATATTCAGGAGTTTCCTGAGCTGCTGTTAAACCATTGGTAGCATGAAATCCACCATGACGGGAGTATTTACACCATGGGTATTGACAAACACTACAAATCAGGGATTTCTCTTCCTTCTTTTCTGAAAGGTGCACAAGTCATCGGTGTACTGAACAAACTAAACTCACAGCTTCCTTGCTCAACATCACATTATGAGATTCACCCATACCACTGAGCATAACTGTGGACCATTTATTCTCATCGCCATATAGTATTCCATTGTGTGAGTATACCACAAATCACGTATCCATTCTACTTTAATGGGCATTTGAATAGTCTTCGGTTTGGGGCTGTGAATGGGTAGTGCTGCTGTAAATGTTCTAGTACAGTGCTGTCCAATAGAACTTTCTAGGATGATGAAAATGTTCTACGTCTTCACTGTCCAATATGATAGCCCCCAGCCAGCATGTGTAGCTACTGCGCACTTGATATGTGGCTAGTGCAACTGAATTTTAAATTTTATTTTAATTAATGTTACTAGCTACATGTGGCTAGTGGCCACCATACTGAACTGCACAGTTTTAGGACACGGCTTTTGATGAATATATGGGTGCATTTCTGTTGGAGAATGCATTCCATCGAGTACAATTTCTGAGTTAGAGATATATATAGCTTTAATAGCTAGAGCTAAACAGTTTTCCAGAGTAACTGTACCAATTCATAATTTCTGGGTTAGAAGATATATATATATAGCTTTAATAGCTAAACAGTTTTCCAGAGTAACTGTACCAATTCATATCCCCACCAGCCATGTCTGAGAGCTCTAGTTGCTCTACAATCTGCCAACACTTGGTATTGTCTGGATTTTTCCATTTTAGCCATTCTGGTGGGGAGTAGAGATATCACTTTGTGGCTTTCCTTTGAATTCCCCTGGTGATTAAATATAGTTTAGCACCTTGGATATCCTCTTTTGTGAAGCGATTGTTTGACTCTTTTGCCCATTTTTCTTTTTTAAATATATTTTATTGATTTTTTACAGAGAGTAAGGGAAAGGGATAGAGAGTTAGAGACATCGATGAGAGAGAATCATTGAACAGCTGCCTCCTGCACACTCCCCACTGGGGATGTGCCCGCAACCAAGGCACATGCCCTTGACCGGAATCGAACCCGGGACCCTTCAGTCCGCAGGCCGACGCTCTATCCACTGAGCCAAACCAGTCAGGGCTCTTTTGCCCATTTTTCTATTAGATCTTATTATTACTGATTTATAGTAATTCTTTCTATATTCTGAATGCAAGTCCTCTGTTGGATACATTTCTGTGGAAATTTTCTCCCTCTTTTTGGATTGCCTTTTCACTCTCATAATGGTATCTTTGGGTTAACAGATGTCCTTAACTTTTTAGATATAACATTTATTAAATGTTATGTATAATTATTTACTTTATTCATGTTTAACCTTAAACTTTACAGGCAATAATACAGAAGATAAGATTATGGAACACTCCCTTGGAGTTCCTAAGAAGGAGGGCTTTACTACTTCACCTCCAAGATTAAAATTTTATAACCATGAAAGCCAAGGTGGGCACCTTTCCAGTGGAATGGCAGCCTTGTTAAAGAGTTTTTGTCTATTATTGAAATTTCAGGCTTTAGGTTGAATGAAATTTAAAGGATTGCTCATAAAGTAAACATTTTCCAAAATCTCATGTTTTTTTCAAGTTAGAAAGGTACCTCCAATGCTTTAAAATATCAACAATGACATCAGTAGTTTAAGGACTCTCATAGTACATGTGACTGTATGCGCACAGTATGTCACCAACCCTCTCTAAACAATGAAAATAGCAGCTCTGTGACATTGCTCCCTTCTTATCCTTATGCAGGAGTAGAATGATCAGTTACACCTGCTTGATACCAGCACACTGGCATTCATACCAAGTGTAAACCCCAGTTATTTAAAACAGCACAACTATCACATTCCCAGACAATGTGCAATGTAGAACAGAATTTGTAGATTCAGAAACCTGCGGCATGTTCTTGGAATTCTTTTAAATTATAAATTACATTGAGCATTAAATAAAAACACTGCACTAAGTTCTATAACCACAATAGTGGCTGAACTTCAGTAGCTGACTTAACTATATCAGTTTCTGCTCAATCTCAGCACATTCTCTTGCAGTAGGATATTTTTAAGTGTGCATGAATGAAAGGCCCAGCTCTCTGCCCCTGCCTTGTCACAAGAGCGCTGGGGATGGCAAGCTGGTGAAATATGCCGGAAGAGAAAGGTATGCGCAATTATTTTCCCTTTGTCTAACATTGGCTTTGATTTAGAGTAGAATGCAAAAACCTGATTTAAAAAATAAAACAAGAAACTGAATGAGGGTCTGTTTCTAAGTTTAATTCAGTAGCCAAGCTATACGGCAAAAGTCTTTGCAGGATGGAAAGTACTAAAGCAACACTCACACTGAAAGACAGGTAATCAGAGGTACCAGGGCGCGGGGAATGTGAGTCATCGTGAGAAGACAGCCTGGGTAAATACCGCACATTTCCTGTCAGCTGCTGGTAAGACTTGATGTTTTTTTTTCAAACTGAAAAGGAATCCTGCAGAGCATTCTCCTTATCACTTATTTGAAGAAAGGCTGTTCTAGGCCCCCTCATTGAACATGAGGGCTAGGTTTCAAAATTCATTTCCTGTATCATCCCAAGGCACATGATACTCTGTTAATACTGTGTGACATTGAACGGCTGTAATGGATGGTGCAACTGCTCTCTGGGGTATTCTCCGAAGAGCAAACCTATTAGCGTGAAACGGCTAATGGAGAAAAATGGATGATTGCGTAGAGAAGTGCAGAAGGACCCTTTTGCGTCTTGGGATCCATTAACCAGTTCCAGACGCCTGTGCAAACAGATACCTCCCTGGTAAGCATCCTCCAGTGATCTGGGGCAGGTGGTAGCTGGTGAATATATCTAGAAAGTCTTCTTTCAAAACCTTCCATTGTTCACAGTTAGTACCTTTGTATCCGAGGTCATGAAGATGTTCTCCAGTGTTTTCCTCTTAAAGCTTTACTCTTCTGCCTTTCGCATTGAAGTCTGTTTTTATAATTTTCAGGTTTGACCGTTATGTATTGAGCACCTACTGTGTATAGACATCCTGCTAGCCAGTGTGCTTTCATTCACTCACAGCAGAGATCACTGCTCCCATTTTAGAGATGAAGCGATAGAGGTTCCGAAATGTGAATTACTCAGAGGGCACCACCTGCTGGAGGGAGGGCTAGGGTTTGAACCCAGGACCATCTGTGTCTTTCTTCGACAGAGCCTAAGGTGCAGGTCAGCGCTGATGGGGGAGCTCTGGGATTTCCCCCAAGGAAGGTGGCCAAGGAGGGGCCCTTCTCCCCAGAGGACCCGAGGGCCATTCACCCTCTCAGGAGACTGATGTCGGCGAATAAAAGACCTGGGACTGAGGCTGGTTTGGGTCCCAAGACAACTCAGGGCTTCTAAGTAATCTTGGATGTTGAGGAGATAAAGGGCTCGTCCCCAAATACCCCGTAATGTTTTTAGGAATCCACAGTCCATGAATTACATGCTGAGAAACTGTTCCATGCTCCCACCACTCCACACCCCTTCCCAGGAGTCCCTCCCCACCTCTGGGCCTTTGTCCCAATCTTCCCCTGCCCAGAATGCTTCCTGGCTTCACCTCCTCCGAGAAGCCTTCCCTGATCCAACCCAACCCCCAGCACCGCATGTCTGGGTCAGTTGATGCCCACAGCCAAGTCCTGTCTGACTGCCCCGGAGTCCCCTGGGTAGGTTTCGCCCCTGAGGCAGAAGGCCATGGCTGGAGGCCAGCAAAGTTAGTCCTCATTCTCCATCGTCCTGTGCATCCCCCAGCCCTTCCCACGACCTTGGTAAAGACCTGCTGACCCTTTAACCTTGTGTCTCGGGGGAAGAGAGTCCTTGTCTAGCACTGAGTCTTGGGATCACTTATTCACTGTGTGACCCTGGGCAAGGCCATTGCCCTCTCTGAGCTTCCCTTTTCCTATCCATGAGTTAGTTGAGCTCTGAGGCCAGAGACTTCAGAGGAGCAGAGGGGAGGTCAGATCCTGCTACCAAAGGCTCCTTCAGGACTCTGCTCCCCTCCTCCCTGGAAGGAGCAGCCAGGAGAGAGTCTCTGGTCCTGACCTGAGTCTCCTCCACTGAGCCAGGGACGCATAACTCCCAGGGCAGCCGGGCTGGAGGAGGAAGGCGTGTGGCCAGGTCTGTGCCCCAGCTCAGCATCCTCTCTCTTTGCTCCCAATAGGCTGGCACGGCAACCATACCCACCATTTCTACGCTGAACTAGAGAACTTCGGGAAGGGAAATGTGTATTCGTCTTCTGTAATATTGGTATGTGTAGTCTTAGGCCTGGTCCTCACCATCTCCTGCGTCACCATCATCCTGGCCAAGAAGGCCTGGCGGCTCCAGCCCCGCCGTCCTCCCTGCCGCCGCCGCTACTACTACCGTGGAGACGCCGAGGCTGACCAAGGTGAGCTGCTGCCCTTCCCAGGGCCTGGCCCTCCCATCCAATTGCGACTGCAACCCAGGACACATCAAAGAGGCAGCTGCTCTGTCGTGAGGGGGCAGGGGGCAGGGAAGGCATCCTGAGGTCTTGGGGATCGGGAAGAGCTCACAGATGCTCACCATGATGTACTCAATGGCGTGGGGAGCCTGGTTGTCTACCCAGGTGGGGCTGCCGGTCAGAGGGAAGACAGCTTGTTATTCCCCAGCCCTGCCCACTGTTGGTCCAGCTGTACTGACAGCTGGTCCAGATGGTGCCGGGATGCCGGGTCGGATGGAGAAAGGCATAGGTGAGTGGGGTGGGAGGGTAATCTGGTAGGGGGATGAAGAGGTGAATAGGTGCGAGGAGGTGTGGGGTGAGTGAGTGGGTGGATCAACGGATTGTTGGAGAAAGGGATGAGGGCTGGGATGAGGGATGGATAGCCAAATGGGAGGATGGAAGAATGGATGAATGGAGAGGTAGATGGATAGCTGGGTGGAGGGTAGATGTGTGGGTTGGGTGGGATGTGTGAGTGGATGGGTAGGTGGGTGGGTGGGTGGATGGATGGATGGAAAGATGGAGGTTAGGGGGATGGGTAGGCGCGGTATCGGATGGGATGAGTGGGTCAATGAGTAAGTGGATGGATAAATGCATGGGCTGAATGACGAGTGAATGAATGACAAGCCTGCAAAGTGCAAGCAGAACTGACTTGAGACCCTCCCCGTCACAGGGTCACCCTCACAACAGAGCTGGTGGTGAATTTTTGGGCTGCCCAGTCCCGAAGTGCCCACCTGCCTAGTGCGCGCTCTCTCGGAAGGGGCCAGGGATTTAAAAGCAGAGGAAGGAACCCCACGGTATTTAATTCTCAGGCGACCTTCAAGGGCAGGAAAAAGCCTGCCCTGTGGCCTGCAGGGCTTCTCCTGAGACCGGGAAAAAAAGCAGGCCTGTGGAGTGGTCGGACCCCAGGGGCACCATGCACACAGCAGATTAAGTGCTTGGAGGCTCCAGAGCCAGGCAGGGCCAGAGGCTCTTTCCTCCAACAGGACAGAAAAAGTACCGCCTTCGTGCTCCTGCCACCTCTGCACCTTTGCAAATGCCCTTCCCTATGTCCAGGATGCCATTTCCCATACTTCCCCAACCAACAAAAGCTTACTTGTCCTTCCAGACCTGGCTCAAATGCTCTCTCCTTTGGGGAGATTCTCTGGCCCCTCCTCATCCCTCCCAGATTGAGTTGGACCCTCCTCCCTGTACTATCTTGGCACTGTCCCTCCTCCTCCACCAGTGGCCCTGCCACAGGATGGCTGTGTGGCACCAGGGACAGCAGGGCCTGCACAAAGCTCTCCTCCACGTGGGCCCACAGCCCAGCACAGGACCTGGCCCAGAAAAAGTGCTCTGTGGGCAAGGAAAGGAACCACCTGGTTTCATCCGCGCAGCAAAACTGTGTCCGCCCGTTTAAAGGCCGGAAAACTGGAGCAACTTGTTGAATGGCCTAGAGGTCCCCAAGCCTGAGCCTGGTACTCAGAACATGGGCGAAGGGTCCACAGTAGTTCCCAAGCTAAAGTCTGAGAGGTCAACCATGGCCTTGAGGAGAGATGGACCGGGGGGAGGTGGGGGGGCAGACCAGACCCTCCTACTCTTGATTGGGGCCCCAGAGCCATTGCCACATGAGTGACACCTAGCCCTGACCTCCAGAGCAGGGAGAGTGGCAGGAGGCCACAGCCCGACCTTCGCCACCCCACGCCGACTGTCAGCACCCTGCAGCCTTGTTGCTGTGGGAACCCTCTGTGGGGCTCCCACCTCCCTAGCCATTTCTGGTCTCAGCTGTGGCTTTGGCACCTCCCTGAGGCCCCCCACACCTTCCTCCAGCTTTCTGGGGGTGCATGGGGATGGGGATGGCACTGCTAGGAGCCTTAGAAAGACACCAGGGAAGAGAGGAAAAACACACTGGGCGCAGCTGTGGGCAGAGCACCAAGCTTTGACCTATTGGCACTGGGGATCCTTCTGTCCTCAAACACCCCTTCCCTGGCCCCAGGGACAGACTCCCGTCTCTCTCCTTCCACTCCCAGGCTTTTGGGTGGGTTCCTATTGCCTGAGGAGGAAAGCATCAAGGTCCTCAGAGCCAGAGCCAGGGCCCTGGGTCCTCTCTCTATACCCACGGCAGCCTCAGGACCACCCACCATCCTCACTCCAGACCGTGCACCCAGGCATCCCCAAGACATCTTCCCCTGGGGCCCCACACCCAGGGAGCCCAAAATGGCCCTCATCCTCCGTTCTTTCTGTACAACCTCAGGGGAGTTGCTTGACCTCTGTGTACCTACGTGAGTCATCTGTGAAATGGGTACACAGGACCTACCCCCAAAAGTTATTGCAAGGACTAAACTAGACAGCACCTGGCTAGTGAGTAAGTGCTCAGTAAGCGTTAACTGTTTTCATTATCTTTCCCCTAGAACACCTGCTCCCAGGCCACGTAGGTTGGCGCCCCCACCTGCCAGCCGCCAGCCTGGCAGCTCCGAGGCATTCTCCACAGGCATCCAACATGACTGAACTGTGACTAAGTGACAGAGCCAAGGGAGCACCACAGAGCAGCCTCAGTTTCCCTGGGAGACCCAAGAAAAGCAGTTCAAGGAGAGAGGTGGACAGCCGTGTGGGCGGTCCTGCCCACCAGGGCCCCCCACTCAGGCCCGCGGAACAGCCTTAGCTTTCCCGAGGTCAGGACAGCAGGTGGGATCCTTCCCTGATGACGCTGGCAGGGACGGGGCCCTGCGCCAGAGCCCAGCGGCCCTGGTTGCCATCACCCTGTTGTTTCCTGCTTATCTCTTTCCTGAGCTCCTTCCCCAAGTTCTTCCAAAAACCCATTCTCCAGCGGAAGCCCTGGAGAGAAACAGATCTCATCTCCGCTCCCTTCCACAGCGTGACATTGGGCTCCTTGATCCTAGTATAAAAGTAACATGTGTTCATGGTAGAAAACCTTTAAAACACAGGAAGTCTGAAGCAGAAAATAAGGGTCGTGGTCCTGTCATCCAGACAGAGCCACTGTTGACGCCTGTGGAACATTTCCTTCCGGGAGCCTTCTCGCTGCCCTGAGTTTACACCTCCCCACGTGGTAGAAATGCAGAGAGAGTGCTGTACCCAGATTTTCCCACTCACCATTGTACCTCGAGTGGGGGAAAGAGCTTAGGGGAGTGGAAAGGGCAGCCTTTAGACTGCAGTGGTTCTCAACCTTGGCTGCACATTAGAATCACCTCATCCCCGAGGATCCCAGGGGAGCCTTCTCGCTGCCCTGAGTTTACACCTCCCCACGTGGTAGAAATGCAGAGAGAGTGCTGTACCCAGATTTTCCCACTCACCATTGTACCTCGAGTGGGGGAAAGAGCTTAGGGGAGTGGAAAGGGCAGCCTTTAGACTGCAGTGGTTCTCAACCTTGGCTGCACATTAGAATCACCTCATCCCCGAGGATGAGGCAACCTTGGCTGCACATTAGAATCATCCTCATCCTCGAGGATGAGGCCCAGAAATCAGGATTTTAAAAAGATTTTTAGGTGATTCTAATGTGCAGCCAAGGTTGAGAACCACTGGTCTATAGAGTGAGGTCAGGGTGCTACTGACTCAGAGAAAGGTCATAAGCCCAACCCCAGACAAGCCCCACCCTGATGCTGAGCCCTGCCCTCTGAGGGGAGGAGCCACCTGGGAGGCCATTGGTGTTGGGGAGACCTCAAGTCTCAGCCGTTTTTGCAGCTCCCACTTGCCCCTAGCCACCTTGAGTCTTGTCAGAAACGGGGAGGTGGAGCGCTGGCCTGGCCCTATCAGTAACTTGCTGTGTGGCCTCGGGCAAGTCCCTGGGCCTCTCTGAGCCTCAGCTGTAGAATGTGAAGGCTGTGCTCCATCAGCATTTCCCATGCAGTGTTATTAGATAGAAGAAAATAAGATCCTGTGGTCCAATGCTGGAGAAGCACAATTGAATGTGTTCCTCAGCTGCAGGACTTTTCGGAGCCTTTGATGTGCTAATATGTGGTCAAAACCCCTGAAGAAATACTGTCAACAATAAAGAATTATTTAAAAAACTAGAGGCCCAGTGCACAAAAATTTGTGCACTGGCGGGGGATGGTGTCCCTCAGCCCAACCTGTGCCCTCTCACAGTCTGGGACCCCTCGGGAGATAACCACCTGCTGGCTTAGGCCCGCTCCCCGGGGTCGCAGATGGCAGGCCCGGATGGCGGCAGGGCGGGCGGCGGATCGCGCTGTCCCGCCCTGCCTGCAGTATGCGAATTTAACAGCCATCTTTGTTGGGTTAATTTGCATACTCTTCTGATTGGCTGATGGGCGTAGCGAAGGTACGGTCAATTAGCATGTATGTCTTTTATTAGTGTGGATAATAATACATAAACAAATACCCAGAAGAGAATGCGGTATACTGAGTCACTAGAATTCATCACAGAAGACCCTTTTCTCCCTGGGATATCTTAAGGGAATAGTGTGTGGTTGGGGGCAGGGAGTAGGGAGGCCTGCCCCAGAGCCCTCTGTAGCCCTCGTTCCCTGACAGCCTCTTGCCCCCTTTCATGCCCCAGACCTTCTCCACAGCTCAAAGCTTCCTGCTCACACCAAACTCTTCTTTTTCTTTCCCTCCTTGGCTCAAGCTGTTCTGTTCCCTCTGCCCAGCCTGCCCCACTTCCCCTGGCTAAATCCTAGACAAGACTCAGCTCTGGGAGCCCCTCCGCCAGGAAGCCCTCCCTGACCCCAGGCTGGGTCCGGCCTGCTCTGTTCCCACAGCCTCAGTACTATGTCTGCCAAAGCTCATCACACACTGCTCAGTACAGGGCTGTCACATTCTGGGGTGCCACTGGGGGGACTCTCCCTGGCGCCAGCCTGAGGCCCAGGCCGAATGTCTGTTCCCTGCAGACTACCAGGAGCACTCCTTCTGCCGCCGTGGGATACGCTGCTCCTGCAGCCTCAGGGGAGACCGGTTCAGCTCTCTGCACCGGCTGCACATGGATGCTCCACCAAGGTAGGAGGCCTCCTGGGGAGAGGGTGTGAGAGGGTGGGGCTCTGGGCACAATGCCCCCTCATGGGAAACAGCAACACCTCCCCAAGGGGTATAAACGCAGAAAACATCTGCTCAGAGGATGTGACCATCTCTCACCCTCTGACCAAGCAGGTCCCAGGGGGGCAGGGTCTGACTCAGAGCTGCCACCAGGAGACTCTCGAGAAGGAGGAGAAAGCGCAGCCCCTTCAGGCCGGGCCCCAGCTCCTTCGTTTGCGCCCCCAAAGCCCAACTCACACCCACTGGGATGGGGTCAGTGCATCCAAACTGCACTCGGCCCTCAGGCGGCCCTGTCCCCTTGGCAAGTTCTCCTCTGGGCCTTCAGGTCCACCCTCAGGCAGGTCACCCCCAGCTAGTACTTGCAAAGAGAAGAGGTCTGGGGCTTCCATCACTTTCCTACCAGGGGACCCTCGGCTCTCCCTCTTCCCTTCTCCCTCTGCTCTGGGGTGCAGGGAGGGCAGTGCACTTGCCCTCTCCCGGGCCGGAGGACACTTTTCAGCCCTGCACCTCTGGCTCAGGGGCCCCAGGGCTGGAAGGGCCACTTTGGAGTGACTTCAGATCAAGGGTGCCTGCAGCTGCTCCCGGCAGCTCTGCCCACACTCGGGGGCCAGCCTGGGCGACGTTTGGTCCACAGCATCCTGCTGCTCTGAGCCACCTGTGGCCCGGCGCTCAGAGACCTGCTCGCTGAGTTCACACAGAACACGTGGCTGGGTCAGGACCAGAATCTAGGTCTCACGGTTCTGTGGGACAGAGAGGTTTCACTGGAGCCGCCATGACAAAGGCCTGGCTGGTCCATGCCAGGCAGCTTGTCCCTGAGCACAGGCTCTCAGCTCTTGGGGAAAGACCCACACCCGCCCGAAGGCCAGGCCCCACAGGCCCTGAGGGAGTCCCTTCTCTTGTAGCTACGAAGAGTGCATGGGGCCAGGGGCCACTCAGCTGTACCCCCCCACGGAGGCACCACCTCCCTACTCGCTGATAGACACCGACAGCGGCCACAGCTCCGGCGGACACCAGCAGGCGCACAGTGACCTCTTCACCATCTCCATGGATGCCCTGCCCCCTTACGAGGCTGTGTGTGGGCCTTGCCCTCCACCGAGCCTGCTGCCACTGCCAGCCTCAGAACCAGAGCCAAGCAGCCTCCAGGGCCCACCGAGCCCAAAAGGAAGCCTGGCTTCCAGCCCAGAGATGATTGTGTGAATGCCAGCAGGCCACGTCCTGCCAGTCCCTAGGGGCTGAGAAAGACCTTTCGGGAATACAGGGAGCGCGTGCACGCACACATATACACACACGCAGACACAAACTCATGCACACACACAGACACATTCACACACATGCAAACTAATGCACACAGACACATATGCACACAAACTCATGCACACACACACATGCACACAACACAAACTCTTGCGCACACCCAGCACTCCTACATGCACACATATAATACAACTTACACACACAGACATATACACAGTGACATGCCCATGTGTACATACACATCCAAACATGCCCCACACGTGTGAAGACACATACACAGACGCCCCCCTCACACGCACCATGCAAACTCATCTGTGAAGGTTGCATTCAAAAGGAAGCTCTCCCTACCTCCCGTCCCTCCCCAGCCTGCCGGTGATGACTTAGAGACAGCACTGGGCAGAGAGGTGCAGAGGGGACTAAGGCTTGCTCTCGCCTCTCCCGGGCCTGTTTGCCCCTGCCCTCACCTGGCAGGCGGTGCCAAACTGTGATTCTGTCTCGAGAAACAGCCTGACCATGGCAGGTCAGCTGTCTACCCCCACCCCCTCCGAGGGCAGCCTGTCCCCTGGTTGGTGGGACAGGTCTCAGTGGGACTCAGCTACACACTGAACCTCCCCACCAAGTCCAGGGCAACAAAACCACATCACCACCCTGCCACTTACGGGGTGCGGACACGGGCCTGAGGGGCTGGGGCACAACCTGGAGGCCCTTACAGCCCTCTCTGCCCTCGCCCTTCCCAGAGTGCCCTCAGCCTGGCGCTGCCAGCCGGGTTATCTCCGAAGCCCCCACCCTGAACCACAGGGCTGAACAGGGCTCCTGGTGGGTGTGCCATGGTGGTGAGGGTCACAGCTGTGCCCCTATCAGTCCAGCCACTTCCCAGGACTGAGCATCTTCAGAACATAAGGGCTCTGAGCCGCAGGAGCGGCCCCTCACTTAAGTATGGGCCCAAGCCAGGCCCCAGGAGCTGGCACTGTCCTCTGGCGGCTGCTCCTTTGGGAATTGAGCTGCCATGTTCTGGTCTCGCCCTCTGAGGAGTTTGCAGAGACAATATAAGGCAACTTGAGCCCCACTGTGCCGCCGCTAGGACCAGTGGTTGCCTCTCAGCCTTGATGCCGGGCGCCACGGAAGGGCGTGCGTGGGTTGCCTGGTGGTAGAGAGGCCCCAATCTTGGCCCATGAAACCCAGCAGTTTCCAACAGAGGCCATGCAGGTCACACAGCTGACTCCTGAACGCCCAGCCTGCCAGAGGGGGCACCTGGGAATCCCTGAGGAGGGACCCACCAGCATCACCAGTGGCAGGGAGCAGAGACCTCAAGTCCACTCTGCCTCCCTCGCCCGTCCTTAAACACCCTCTTTCCTCTCCTCCCCCTCCCCACAAAGGGCTAAAACAATTCACTAACCCCTTTCTTAAGAAGGGGGTAGCAAGAATGGCTATTGTGAATTTTATTTTGTATAGAACTAGTATTTTTGTCGGTGCAGGACTGAAAGGAATCCGGTCAAAGGTTCGGCAGCACCTGGAGCTTCTGGCTCCACGTGGAGTAGGGACCTTGTTTACAAGCAGTTCTGTCACCTTGTGGTTTACTTGTACTGTTTTTCAAGCAAAAAATATCTGTCTGTTGTACTGTATTGCTTTAAATGCACTCCAGGGGTGAAACCCATCCTGCTTCTGCAACCCTTAAGACTGCTGTAAGGGGGCCGGGGGCACCCCTATGTACTCATCAGTGTGGGAAAGTAAACAGCTTTTCTTGCTCCTGGATTAAGCGCTATTTAAGCAACTGTGGATGTTTTCTGTGTTCAAAATAAATACATCATATCCATAAAGTGTTGCAAGAAGTATCATTGGGGCGGGGTGGGCTAGAAGAGGTCAATGCAGGGAAAGGGGGCATATGTAGTACTTTCAACAATGAAGATTTATTTTAAAATTTCAAAATAAAAAATAAAAAGAAGTAACATTGTATCAAAGGGGGGCTTGTACCATCTGAAATCTCTAAGGAAAGGAAACAACATCAAACTGAAAATATATTACTTCTCTCAGAATTAGCAGCCATTGAAGCCTTGTCATTTTCCTGTTGAACCAAATATTGAGTATGTGGGTAGTCAGTGATTTAAGAGTCCTGCTTCCATCAGTCCCGCTCCAAGCCCACACTGCCACCTGCTGGCCGCCTGCTGCCACTGTTCAAAAGCAAATGAATCTACACCTGAAGAACCTGCAAATTCCCTAGTCCAGTGGTCGGCAAACTGCGGCTGGTGAGCCACATGCGGCTCTTTGGCCCCTTGAGTGTGGCTCTTCCACAAAATACCACGTGCTGGCGCGTACGTACAGTGCGACCGAAACTTCGTGGCCCATGCACCACACTCAAGGGGCCAAAGAGCCGCATGTGTCGAGAGCCGTAGTTTGCCAACCACTGCCTAGTCCCACGTTCAAACCCACTGCGCATGGTCACTCCGAGTTGTAGATGAAACTTGTCTTCTACCCCTGGGATGTTCCATGAGGTTAACCCAGTCATGAATTCCACTTTCAGGAATAGCCCCTGCCCCCAGGCATCTCTCTCTGGGCACAGCCTGATACCTAAGCCCCATCTCTGTATGCAATATAATCACTCCTCTGTCCTCAACACGAGTGTGCATGGCTCAGGTGCCACCTCCGTGTTCTGGGGCCCCTCCTCCTGGGAATGAACGCAGCAGCCTTGGTGGTAGTGGCACCAGCACCCTACACTGACACCCCGTCCCAACAACAGACACACTCAGGGTGCCACTGGCACAGGGAACGGTTGGGCTTGGCTCTTCCTGCCTCCTCTATCCACGACGCGCCCTGTGGCCGCGTAGGGCACCACATTCAAGGTCCTTCTGCAAACAAGGCTGACCTCTCTCTGCCAGGGGCCTGAGGGGTGAGGGCTGAGGAGGGACCTGGTGCAGGCTGGGCGGCCTCCTCTTGCCGGAGGCTTAACCCTTTGCGCTCCAATTTTATTTTTAGAATTCAAACAGTCTGGTCCGAATTGGAAGTCCTTCCTCTCTTGGTTGCAGTAGTTCCCTGGCGGAAATTGCCAATTAGCTCAATCACCAACTCGACGTTGGACCTGCTACTCGCGCCTGGTCTGTCGGGTCAGCCTCGACGTAGGAGCGCAAAAGGTTAAGAAAGGGGAGCTGCAACCGATGGCATATGAGGCTACCACAATGGGCCGGCGTGTGTGGACACGGCGTGTTCCAAGGTCTTTGGACAGGGCACCAGTAGCACGCCACACGAGAGCAGAAATCACCCGAGAGAAAGAGGAAGGAGGGTCGGTACAGAGTATGGCCGAACACCGCTTGCACTGGCCAAGCCCCCTGCACAACCACACGTGGGGGTCCCACCCCTTGCTCCTGGAGACACCCTGACACACACTGAATGCAGCATGGCTCAGCTCACAGCACCTGAGGTTTTGTGCACGTCTGCTTAGACGGCTTTGGTGCGCGCACACACACACACACGCGAGCGCCCCTTACACACTCAGAGGCCCACATACACACTCCAAGGCCATCCACTCTCATATCAGGGGACTGACCTGATGACTGACCAGGTTCTGGCTGTGAGCAATGGAAGGACCGGCAGCGTCCTCGTGGGAGAGTGAACCTTCCTTCCTGGGCTCTGCTTGGCTTGACCCTGACGCTTGACCTCCGACACTTGACCTCACGTGGTACCTCCCCAAGCCCACGTGAACTCTACCAGGACCAATTGCCTGGCTGGAGGCGGGGCGTGCCTCTGCCCACCAGGCGGCCGCCCAGCTGCGCCTGCTCAGCATCTCTCCAAGGCAGTGGTTCTCAACCTTGGCTGCACATTAGAATCACTTGGGAATCTTTCTAAAATCCTGATTTCTGGCCCTAACCGGTTTGGCTCAGTGGATAGTGGCGAACCTATGACACGCGTGTCAGAGGTGACACGCGAACTCATTTTTTGGGTTGATTTTTCTTTGTTAAATGGCATTTAAATATATAAAATAAATATCAAAAATATAAGTCTTTGTTTTACTATGGTTGCAAATATCAAAAAATTTCTATATGTGACACGGCACCAGAGTTAAGTTAGGGTTTTGCAAAATGCTGACACGCCGAGCTCAAAAGGTTCACCATCACTGTCCTAGACTCTTGAGATGGCATTTGAGAAAAACTTAACTCTTTCTTGAATCTACTTGGTGACACAGAGAGGCTCTGAGGCTGACTGGATTGGGTGTCTGGTTACTTCTTAAGCACGTGTAACTCTTCTTGGGTAGCTTAAGATATATTTTAGTTTCCTAGCTGAGGAATTCCTTCTGGTTTTCTCAGATCTGAATCTCTGAGATGGCCAAAGGGATAGTTCTCTTACAATATTAGTGGAAATGAGTTATAATTGGAAGTTCTTTAGTATTTTCGTGGCCCCACCCCATAACAAAGAAACAGAATTTCCGGAGGGTGAGGCCCAGAAATCAGGATTTTATAAAGATTCCCAGATGATTATAATGTGCAGCCAAGGTTGAGAACCATTGCTTCAAGGCATCCCAGGTCTGCCCTACCTTCTGCCCTACGGCTGCTGGCTTCCTGGTCCATGACCTGCCACAAAGCTGGCACCTGAACTACAGATGGAGGTGGGTAGACAGCCCTGGAAATGGGGAGCCCTCCACTCACTGACAGGCTCTGAGCCTGTTAGTCATTTTCGAGAGGCAGAAACCCAACTGAAACAAGAAAGGGTATTTAGCGGCTCATTCAGTGATGGCGAACCTATGACACGCGAACTCATTTTTTGGGTTGATTTTTCTTTGTTAAATGGCATTTAAATATATAAAATAAATATCAAAAATATACATCTTTGTTTTACTATGGTTTCAAATATCAAAAAATTTCTATATGTGA